CTCCGGGTGGGCCCCGTGGGAGGGCACGGAGGCCCCCGCCTCGGCGTCCCCGACCCCCGCGCTGCAGCCGGCTCCCCACCGTCCCCAAGCTCTGTCCCTCGCGATGACCAGTTCCCTGAGAGCCGGTTGTGTATCACTTGGCACACGACAGCCCCCGCCCTCCCTCGTTCTCTTTCTTACCCGAAGGTCTTTCCTCAGTTTGATTGCACAGAGGGGTTTTTACTTGTTAAGGGTTCCACGCGTTGTGTCTGAGACTAGGGAAGGAGTTCTTCCGACACCTGGCCTTGGTTTTGTTTTGCAGGATCCCGTTCGAGATGGGGTGGCTTCACCAGCCACCCCTGGGACCGGGAAATCTAAGGTGAAGACAGTACATGACTAGCAGGCTGAAGAGCGGAAGGATGATGAATTGGAAAACTTTGGCGTGGGGAGAGGGGTGGCCAGTTTAAAAGAAATAGCCTTTCTCCAATGGATCTCAATTTATCCGTCACCCAACTGTGTCCTGTTTCTTCTTTCTTTTACTTTTTTTCAAGTTTCCCGACATGACTTTTTGTTTACTTCCTGCTTCTGGTTAGTACTACTGAGACGTCCTGCACTTTTTCGAACAGTAAACACGTCAGTCTAATTTATGAGTTTTTTGAAGTGATGTAGTGGAAAGAGCAGTGCATAGGGTAGGAATCAAGGGACTCTTCTGTGGGCTCCAGTTCCTGCCTTGAATGAGGCAATTATTATGGCCCCGTACAACGTCTAACATTCAAGGATTCTGAAAGATAGTGGTTTATTATTAAGGTTTATTGTTTGTATGCTAACTTTCAGGCAGTTGCCTAAGCACCCAACCACTTCACTTAAGCTTCCTGGTAGCAATGACATAGGTACTGTGGTTATCCTCATTTTACAGATTAGAAAACTGAGACCCCAGGGTTTACGTAAATTTACCACTTGGTAAACCTTAATATTTTAAAGCCTAAATGTAACCTAATTCATCTTGTTACTTTAATTATGCTTAAGTTTTCACGTAGCCAAAGATTTCTTTCAGCCTTAATACAAATAGTTTTATAGCTCTAAGGAACTTTAAGTAGCATTAGTTCCAACCCCTTAATTTTACAGTTAAAGGAACTAAAACCTAGAAAGTGTCAACCTATAGCAACAGTATCAGTAGGAGGATTTGTGCTGTTTTTTTACATTTCAAAACTAATTTTTACATTTTCAGTAGTTGCATAACTAATAATTATTGAGTTGAAGTTGCATTTGCTAATTTTTTAAAATGTGGAACAAAGTATGGTGTTTGGCTGGCATAAAGATTTATTCAGTAGAATGTTTTAGACAGATATTCTGTTTCTTTTTTGTGCTACACTCAAAGCATGAGTTATAAGTTGGTAACATGACTACATCTTTCAGCTGGAAACATTGCCCAAAGAAGATCTCATCAAGTTTGCCAAGAAGCAGATGATGCTAATACAGAAAGCTAAGTCAAGGTGTACAGGTATTGGGCTGAAAATATTCATCTTGACCACAGTCTCGTTTAACTGTGGTTAAAAATGGTAGTTTTTTAATAGTGGCCTGGTTTTGTTTTCCAGTGATTCCAAATACATCTCAGTGTAGTGGAATCTGTTATTTAACATTACCTTTGATTTGTTTTCATTATCTTGTATCTCTAAACTACAGTTATCTTTGAGTTGTTAAAATCGGAGGAGGATTGGGCCGGCCCGGTGGCGCACTGGATAGTGCGCCGCTTGGGAAGCGCGGCAGCACTCCTGCCCGAGGGTTCGGATCCCACTTACAGACCGGTTCCTGCTCACTGGCTGAGCGAGGCGCGGGGGCAACACTGAGGGTTGCGATCCGTTGCCGGACACGGAAAAAGACAAAAGACAAAAAAAAAAAAATCGGAGGAGGATTAAAAAAATTTTTTTGTTAAAGTTAAGCATTTTTTTCCTTCATGTAGATTGTCAGTTCTTCTGAGTAAAGTTTTTTCTAGAAGAGTCAGTTGAAATACCAGGTTGTAATACCAAAGAAGAAAGAGAACTCAAGTAAAGTAATAAAAGATTTCTGTTCCTGGAAATTTGAAGTACATTTATTTACTTAAGTTGATTAATTCCCTATTTAGTTTCCTTTTCTTTTTCTTCCAAAATGAAGAAGATGTTAGTAGGCTTGTATAGTATATGTGAATGAGCTCTTGAATTTCCTATGATTTATAAGTGTGTTAAGTGCCCTGCCTAAAAACCAAGACATTTTCTATTAGAAAATGTCAAATTATGTTTTGGGAAGTTGAATTCGCTTGTAATAAAGACAGTCATCTATTTGGAAAGATATTCTAGGTTCCAGATCTTGACACATAATGATGAAATATTCAGACTAACATTTACAGTTAACCTGGGGATGTTGCTTTAAGATTGTACAGTAAGAAGTATTCATAGCAGAAATAATGCGATGTCTGAGATTTGCTTCAGAATTCGCAGGATGGCTAAGAAAAGGGGAAGTGAATAGAAATTGGGATGAAACAAAATTGGCCGTGTAATAGTTGCTAAGGCAGGGGGATGAGCGCATAGAGATTAACCATATTGTTCTCTCTACTTTTGTATTTGTTCAAAGTTTTCCGTAATAAAAATGAAAAAAAATGGTAATACTATTATGTGGCTGAAGTTAATAGTTTCTCAAAATACCTGCTTTTTAAAAATATATTCTAATGTGTAAGTTTTGGGGGTTTTTTAGCCAGTAATTATTTTCTTCATTTCTGAACTGCAATCTTTGTTTAATTGTTTAGAATTGGAGAAAGAAATTGGAGAACTCAGATCAAAGCCTGTTGCTGCAGGAACTGATGATATTATTAAGGTAATGAAACAGTTGTGAATATTGCTTTACTTTTTATTTATTTACAAATGTCTAATGGTAAATAGAATTTCCTTGAGGGTTGTTAGCCTGCTGGAGGCTATTTGGCTTTCTGTTCCTGGTCTGCCACTTCCTCTCTGGCCTTGGTTGTTTTTTTTACTTTTCTGGTTCACCGTAAAAAGAGAGAGTTAATGACCTCTAGGTCCTTTTCTGTTCTGAAATGAGTATTCCCTCTCCTCATGCTTTCCAGTTATGGTTGTTATCTCAGACTCTGTTTTACTCTTCCCTGTCCCCCTCAGAAAACCTGGCCACACCCAGGACTTTGAAGATCTATATATTATATATGTACCTATAGATATATCTATATTCTTGGACATGACCACTGACACAGATCTCACAGTTGTATTTCTAGTTGCCTGGGGGAAAAATGTTCTTCACACATTCCATTTGTCCACATGATCAAACAGATAAATAATCTCTGTTTTACCTTTTTTCCTGGACACCTCTGTTCTGAAACCTTCTGCCTGCCTACACTAATTTGGTCTGGTTGTTCTGTATATGTGCTGCACAGTTCTGGAACTGGCCTTTTTTGATGATCCTATGAACTTACACTGCTTTCCTATATTGCCCTCTGTCCTTCCCTGTCCCCATTTGCTAGGTCACATGTCATTCACTTTGTGGGCTAACCATATCATTTCAATAGAGCACTTCCTGTGGCTTCCTATGAATGGAGCATGAGAGGTAAATTTTTGTGTTGTCTTTTATTTAAAAATGCCTTTATTCTCCTCCAATGTTTGATTTATACCTGTAACCCGATATTGAACTCTGAATAGAGCACTTCCTGTGGCTTCCTATGAATGGAGCATGAGAGGTAAATTTTTGTGTTGTCTTTTGTTTAAAAATGCCTTTATTCTCCTCCAATGTTTGATTTATACCTGTAACCCGATATTGAACTCTGAATTTTTTTTACATCTGTTTTGTTTTTGTTTTCTTAAACAACAGAGCTTTTTATTAGTACTATTTCACATAAGAAGTTCCAAGGTAGGCAGTTCTCAGGCTGGTGCAGTCTCCCACTGATGTCATCAGAACACAGACTCTCTTCATCTCCGTGCTCCTGCATCCTTATCCTATATCTGGGAAATCAGAGCTTTCAGGTTTTAGCTTTTATAGTATCTGTAGAAGAGGCAGGTAAGGAAGAAAGGGTTGATTATAGAAGTTGAAGGAGTATGCCATCAAACTTTCTCGAATGCTCATCCAGAATTTGTTTTCTACTTTGTCTAAGGAATGTCAAAGACTTTTCATTTTTCTACCATTATATTGAAATTTCTATTTTGGTGCTGAATGTTTAATTCCAAAGAGCTCATTCTTCATATCTGAATATTCATTTTTTATATATCTTATTATTTAACGATTCAACATGTTCTGTTATCTTAGGAAATAAATTTATGCTATCCTGAAGTTTACTACTACTTTTGCATTGTTTCTGTTTCCTTCAAATTTAATTATTTTTAATGTAATCACCTGTGCTCCCAAAAAACCTAGGATCTTGAAAATAATATGTCCTCCTGTGTAGCCCCCACCCGATTCCTATCGCACCCCCCTAGTTTCCCACGCCCAAGGTAACCATCATTCTAAATCCCGTATTTGTCGTTTCTTTCCTTTTCTTTCATAAAGTTTTGTGTCTACAAGTATCATTAATTTTTTTCGTTTTAGTTTTTAACTTCACTAAAAGTTTTAGTTTTTAATTTCACTAAAGTTTTTAATTTTTACTGAAATTTTAGTTTTTAACTTCACATTCACGTTGGTAATGTTTTAGGACTTTTTTCACTTAATATTATTTTTCGGAAGTTCACCTGTATCATTTCATGTTGCCATGACTGCTATAGAATATTCCATTATGTTACTGTAACATCATTCATGGACCACACTGTTTATGGGTGTTGGGGTTATGCTCATGTTTATGCAATAGAGTACTGTGCTTTGAACTTTCTTGTATGCATCTTATGAATGTGTGGAGGATTCTCCTAAGTAAATGGGTGTAATTGCTGCATCAAAAGTTACATGAAGTTTCAACTTTAGGAGATAATGCCAAACCACTTTGAATAGTATTTAAAATAACTTACACTTTCACTAGCAATCTACAAGGTTCATATCCTCTCCAGCACTAGGTATTGTCTTACATTTTAATTTTTTGCTAATCAAATGGCTATAAAGTGAAGGTTATTGTGGTCTTGATTGCAGTTACTGTTTTTGTGTCCACAACCCCATTTTCACAATGAGCCAATGGGGCTCTTATTGATCTGTAGAATTTTTTGTATATATTTATATATATATTCTTTGCTGATTATGTGTGTGGTGAATATCTCCTCCCAGTTTGTGTCTTGTCTTTTCACTTCCTATGTTTTGATGAACGAAAGACCTTAATTTTAATGTAGTCCTATATATCGTTCTTTCTTGTAATAGTCAGTGCTTTTATGTGTGTGTGTGTATACATATTTTTGTTTGTTTAAAGAAGTCTCTCTAGCCTAATGGTTAAAAGGTATTTTCTAAGAGTTTTAAAGCTGTGTTTTTGACATTTAAGTCAATTCATCTGGAGTTGATTTCTTCTTAATAAGGTGTGAAGTCTTTTTGTAATATTGTAACAATTGTTTTCCAACCTTAATTATTGAATAGTCTTTCTCCACTGATCTAATATTGTACTTCAAAACATGCTTGGGTCTGTTTCTGGACTCTCTTTTTCTACTATGTTGGTTATTTTTTCTATTCCAATAGTATATTGTCCTCATTATTTTACAGTGAGTCCTCTCTCTGTTCTCTTTAAAGTATTTTACTTTCCCATTTACATTTAGAATCACGTTGTCAGATTCAGTGAAAAATTCTATTATGGTTAATTGGAATTAAATGGGATCTCTATAAGGTTTTATAATTTGCCCTTTGGAAGTTCTTTGCCTATCTTTTGGTAAAGTTATTGCTAGGCTCTTGATATTCTTTGATACCATTTTAAATGAGATCTTCTTAATTATGTTTTGTAATTGTTTGCTGGTGGTACCCAAAATGGAACTGACTTAGTATATTAATCTTATGTCTAGGTACTTTGTGAAACTCTCAGTTGTTTCTAATTACCTGTAGATTCTTCTAGATTTTTTGTATAACTGGTCATATCTGCAAACAATTTTATTTCTATTTTAATGTTTATGCCTTAGGGCTGGCCCGGTGGCGCACTAGAGAAGTGCGCCGCTTGAGAGCGCGGTGGCGCTCCCGCTGAGGGTTCGGATCCCATGTGGAGACCGGTTCCCGCTCACTGGCTGAGCGCGGTGCGGGCGCAACACCGAGGGTTGCGATCCCGTTGCCGGTCCCCGGTACGGGCACGACACTGAGGGTTGCGATCCCGTTACCGGTCAGTAAAAAAAAAAGACAGAAAGGAAAAAAAAAATGTTTATGCCTTATATCTTTTTTAAAATTTTATTTCACTGGCTGGGATCTTCAATACAGTGTTGGTTAGAAATGTTGACAGTGGACTAATGTTTTATTTAGCACTTTTTGCCTCTAGATTTGTGAAAAATGATTTTCCTTTGTGTGTAGTACTTGCATATTGGTTTCAAGTTATGCTGCTTTTGTAGAATAACTTGGGAATTATTCTTGCTTTTTATTTTGTCTGGATACGGTTGTATGAAATTGTATGTATCTGTTCTTTGAAAATTTGGTAAAACTCACCTGTAAAGGCATCTATTCTTCCTATTTTCTTTAGTGGACAATTTTTAACTGCTGGTTGATTTTTAAGTAGTTATATTATTATGCTTTTCAGTTTTTTTTCTTTACTCAGTAAAGCTATATTTTCCTAGGAATTTTTATGCATTTCACTTCAGTTTTCAATATGATGAATAAACAACTATTTATAATATTCTCCTAACTTTTTAGTCTCTGATATGCATATAGATGTGTTCCCTTTTTATTTATAATTTTGTTTGTGACTTCTGTCTTGTCTTGCTACAGTGTCTGTTTTGTTAGTTTTTTACAAAGAACTGATTTTTGGTTTGTTTGTTTTCTGTTTTATTAACTTCCTCTCCCATTCAATTTTTTCAGTGAATAACCTTCTCTGACTGCTCCCTATCCAGATTGCCAACTGATCCCCAATTTTTGAGCCCCACACATTACACCTCCCTCAACGATATCTGATGCCTCTAATTCCCGAACATTTCATTTCTGAAGAGTATTTGCCAGCTCCTCATACATGTTCCCTGTGTAAGCCCTTAGATTGTAGCTTTCTTCCTATTTCTAATTCAGTTCCTCCTCTGCTTTTAGTTTTCCAAACGTGTTGAGATTTCTTATATCTTTATGTCTTTTTTTCTTTTCTCTTTGTTCTTATGTTTATACCTTTTTAAGTCTTTTATTCTCACTTTAGCATGATTTGGAAAAGAGGAGGAGATAATTATGTATGTGCTCAGTCCACCATTTTCTTAACCTCAGACAAACAAGTCATTCTGTTTCAAAACAGGCACTGACTGAACGTTTGGATAGTATTCTTCTGGAAAAAGCAGAGACTGAGCAACAGTGTATTTCTCTGAAGAAGGAAAATATTAAAATGAAACAAGAGGTTGAGGTAAGGCAAGTTTTTTTCTTATATAGCATAGTGATAAATTTTAGAGCCAAGTAAGACCTTTAAAGGTATCTAATCTGATTTTAACATTTTATGAACAAAGAAACAGATTAACGTTTAAAAAGAAAAAGAACTGAAATCACCCAACTGTACTATCTATTTCTGTAACTGTTCTATCTCTGCTAGAGATAGAACTAGCATTTACTTCTGCGTTGTTTAGTCTTCCTTATAATTATAATGTCATTTGTGAAGAAAAATGAAAAAAAGTAGGTTGATGACTCTGAATAACATTATCTTCAGTTGTAGGGTATTCAGAGGCATGTTTCTACTTTCTTGCCTGTTACATCTGGGCTAATTTTCTCCCAAAAGTGTCTTACTAATCTATTCAGGGGTTATTAGTTAAAATTTTGTGACTTATACAATTTATATAATTTATCACCTTTTAAAGGAAAATTACATTTAAAGATTTCTTAGTTTTTAGTTATTACTATGAGTAATAGATTATTGCTGATGTATCTTGTCATACTTAAGGGAGAGCCTAGGCAGAGTTCTTAGGATTTCATTATATTTCTCTAGGTAGATTTCTGCTCATTGTGATTTTTCTTTAGTTAGTCTGTGGCTAATACTTTTTTCTGATAGCAGGGGTTTTTTTGGTCTTAATTTATGAATGCTTATTTTTGGAATAGGATTCTGTAACTAAGATGGAAGATGTGCACAAGGAGTTTGAACAATCACATAAAAACTATGTGAAAGAAATTGAAAATCTGAAAAACGAGCTGATGGCAGTACATTCCAGACACAGTGAAGATAAAGCTGTCCTACTAAAAGAACTGGAAGAAGCAATGAATAAACAGTTAGAGCTTTCTGAACAACTGAAATTTCTGAGTGGCTGTGAAGATAATGTTAGAAAACTACAAGAAGAGATTAAGAATATTAGGCCGGCCTTTGAGGAGCAAATTTTATGTCTGCAAAAGCAGTTAGAAGCTACCATTGATGAAAAGAATCAAGAGATTACTCATCTTCAAAAAGTCATTGAGGCTAATTCTCAGCATTACCAAAAAGATATTAATAGTTTGCAAGAGGAGCTTTTCCAGTTGAAAGCTGCACACCAAAAAGAGGTGAAAGAATTGGTATGCCAAATTGAAGCATCAGCTAAAGAACATGAAGCAGAAATAAGTAAGTTAAACCAGCTAAAAGAGAACTTAGTAAAACAATGTGAGGCAAGTGAGAAGAACATTCAGGAAAAATATGAATGTGAATTAGAAAACTTAAGGAAAGCCGCCTCAACTGCAACCCAAGACAAGCAGATATGTTCTTTGCTCTTACAAGAAGATACTTTTGTAGAACAAGTAGTAAATGAAAAAGTCAAACACTTAGAAGATACCTTAAAAGAACTGGAATCTCAACATAGTATCTTAAAAGATGAGGTAACTTACATGAATAATCTTAAATTAAAACTTGAAATGGATGCTCAGCATATAAAGGATGACTTTTTTCATGAACGAGAAGACTTAGAATTTAAAATTAACGAGCTATTACTAGCTAAAGAAGAACAAGGTTGTATAATTGAAAAATTAAAATCTGAACTAGAAGGCTTAAATAAACAGTTTTGCTGTACTGTAGAACAACATAACAAAGAAGTACAGAGTCTTAAGGAACAACATCAAAAAGAAATAATAGAACTAAATGAGACATTTTTGTCAAATTCAGAAAAGGAAAAATTAACATTAATGTTTGAAATACAGGGTCTTAAGGAACAATGTGAAAACCTACACCAAGAAAAGCAGGAAGCTATCCTAAATTATGAGAGTTTGCGAGAGATCATGGAAATTTTACAAACAGAACTGGGAGAATCTGCTGGAAAAATAAGCCAAGAGTTTGAATCAATGAAGCAACAGCAGGCTTCTGATGTTCATGAACTTCAGCAGAAGCTCAGAACGGCTTTTAATGAAAAAGATGCTCTTCTTGAAACTGTGAATCGTCTTCAGGGAGAAAATGAAAAGTTGTTATCGCAACAAGAATTAGTACCAGAACTTGAAAATACCGTAAGGAACCTTCAAGAAAAGAATGAAGGGTACTTACTTAGTCTCAGTGAGAGAGAGACCATGTTACAAGAATTAGAAGCAAAGATAAATTCTCTTACTAAGGAAAAAGATGATTTCAAAAGGAAAATAACAAATTCTCCTGAAGAGATGGATATTCTCCATAAAAAATGTGAAACTGAAGAAAGATTGATTATTGAACTTAGGAAGAAAGTAGAGCAGACTACCCAGTACAACAGTGAACTACAACAAAAGGTAAATGAATTAACAGTAGGACTAGAAGAGACATTAAGAGAAAAAGATCAAAATGACCAAAAACGAGAAAAACTTATGGTTCAAATCAAAACTCTCTCTGAAGATCAGGAGGCATTGTCATCTGAAGTGAAGTCTCTTTATGAGGAAAATAACAGACTAAGTTCAGAAAAGAACCAGTTGAGTAAGGATTTGGAAGCTTTTCTGTCTCAAAAAGAAGGAGATTTTGTCCTTAAAGAACATATTACTGAATTAGAAGAGAAACTTCAGTTAATGGTTAAAGAACGAGATAATTTAAGTAAACTGTTTGAAAATGAGCAAGCTCAGAAGTTATTTGTCAAAACTCAGTTGTATGATTTTCTTAAACAGATGGAGTCAAATGTGTCAGAAGAAAATGAAGACCAAGATGTTGTAAATGTCCTACAAGCTGTATGCGAATCCTTAGCAAAAATAAATGAGGAGAAACACAATTTGGTTTTTCAATATGACGAAAGGGTATTACATTTAGAAAAAGAGAAAATTCTCTTAAGGAGAGAGCTAGAAGAAACCCTGTCAGAAAGAGAGGCCTTACAGCTTGATCTTCTAGAAATGAAGAGTGCTAATGAAAAAACAAGGCTTGAAAACCAGAAACTTTTAGTTCAGATTGAAGAAGTATCTCAAACATGCAGCATAAATGAAATCCATACTGAGAAAGAAAAATCTCTTATAAAGGAACATGAAAACCTAAGGCCATTACTAGAACGAAAAGAATCTGAACTGCAAGATGTGAGAGCAGAGTTGATGTTATTAAAGGTACTATAAAGTTGAATTTTATTGGTTCAAATAAATTGTTAGTTCCTGTCATAGATTCTAGAAAATATATACATGTCAGGTGTAAATTTTTAGCATTTAAGCTCAAATTGCAAATTTCTGAAAAGTGCGTTAAATATTTTTATGTTGTGCATCTTGTTTATTACATTGATCATTTTGTTGGGTTTTAGGTCATTTTAAAATCTTGAACTTACGTAAGATTAGATGATTAGGGGTTTAAATGTTTTGGTCAAAAGTGTATAACTAAGTCACTAGCCAAACTAAACGTGAAAAAACTTGAGTTTCATTCTCGTATACATAGTATCATTCTTAAAGAGTAAAAAAAAGTGGGCTGTAGTGGTATTTCACTCTGGCTTATATTTGAGGGTTTTCTCAAAAACTTGTGAAAGTATGATAAACTGTAATTATCATTTAATCTTTTCCTTATCACATATGTATTTGCTGATTGTCAGGTTATTCATCTTGGCCTTGGGTAATACTGTTTTTTATAGTAAATGCCATATGCATGATAAGGTCAGTATTACCTAGTCTATCAAGGGAAACACTTGATCAAATTGCTTTTTGTATGAATTCTCTTTGATAGTTATTTTCTCATGCTTTATGTGATGGCCATTTTATCATGAGGAAGGAAATGAATTCTGTTTTTGTTTTGTTTTCCTTATAAAATCTAGGATTCCTTAGAGAAATTACCTTCTGTAAAAAACGATCAACTCTCTTCGGTAAAAGATCTGGAAGAAAAAATAGGTAACTGTGGTTTTACATATGTTGTCATAATTAATTAGACAGGTGCTTGTTAGTGTTAGAATTGGGAAATACAGTAGCCAATTAATGAGTTGTTAAAAACACAGTAAGTAGTTGTCTTTTTCTCATGCACCCATTCTTGCTTCTCTGCCATCTGTTTGCCTTCCCTTTCAAAAGTGTGACTGTCTATTTAATCCAAACAGAATACTCATGTGATTCTGTTTATGAATGGTTCCATGATTGTTTTGAATTTTTCATTCATTTAGCAAACTTTATTTGAATGCCCAACTATTCTAGACACTGATAATGGGAAGATGATTAAGGTACACACCATGTGCTCAAAAAGCTCACTGCCAGGAGGGGCCGTAAATTGTAGTTGTTTGAGATGTGGACAAGATACACATATCTTGTCCTGTGTATCTTGTATGTGTCCTGTGTACACATACCTTGTCCTCAGAACAGGAAGTTCCTGTTCTGAGTTAGAAAACACATCACAGAATAGGTTCTTCAGTTGGGTTTTGAAGAATGAGAAGTTTGACACAAGAAGAAAGGTATTCGAGCAAGAAGGAATAACAGGTGCTTGTATGTTAACACATAACATCAGGGAGCATACTAGGAAGTTCTCAGAGAGGAGGAAGGCTTCATAAATGGTAGTGATATGCAGAGGAGCTGGGACTTCATCTTATCAGTTTACTTCTCATGTAATATTATGAGGTAGCTCTTTTATTCCCATTTAAATATGAGGAAATGAAGACTTAGACATGTTGTGTAAAATACCTGTGGTTCCTCAGTTTCATGCCCAATTAGATTGGGGTAGGGTGAGCAGAAAGAGTTTTTCCCAGTTTTTTGGCTTAGGATGCTTAGTTTTATTTATTTTTTATTTTTATTTATTTTTTTTTGTGTGTGTGTGTGTCCTTTTTGAGACTGGCCGCACCGCGCTCAGCCAGTGAGTGCTGTGAGCGCACCGGTCATCCCTATATAAGATCCGAACCCACAGCGGGAGTGCTGCTGCGCTCTCAGCACCGCACCCTCCCGAGTGCGCCACGGGCTCAGCCCAGGATGCTTAGTTTTAGACAAATGAAGTTTAATTACCAATCCAAGTGGACATGTCAAGTAGAATGCTATGCGGTCTGGAATTACGGAGAAAGCTAGGCTAGAGATAAAAATTTGTAGTTAAATATTGGGCTTCAAAAACTGTGAGATTAAAATCACTGACATCACCAAGGGAGTATAGAAAAAAGATGAGAATCAGAAACAGTTCATCATTTAAAGATCGAGGAGATAGAAATGGCAAAGGAGATTGAGAAGGAGCAGCCAGTGAGGCAGGAAAACCTGGAACATAAAATGTCTTGAAAGCTGAAACAAGTGAAATGCAAGTCAAAAGTGCTTTACAAGGGAAGACATGTTTACCTGTGGCAGGTGCTGCTGAGTGGTCACGTAAAAGGAGTATTGAGGGGCCGGCCCGGTGGCACACTGCTACAGTGCGCTGCTTGGGAGTGTGGCGGCGCTCCCGCCGAGGGTTCGGATCCCACATACAGACCGGTTCCCGCTCACTGGCTGAGCGAGGTGCGGGCGCAACACCGAGGGTTGCGATCCCGTGCCGGTCCCAGTCCGGTACGGGCACGACACTGAGGGTTGCGATCCGTTGCCGGACACGAAAAAAGACAAAAAAAAAAAAAAAAAAGGAGTTTTGAGAACTAACCATTGGATTAAGCAACATAGAAATCAGTATCCATGATGTGCTGGAGCTAGAG